GTCTTAAACTATTTAGATTCTGTTATCGAATCAGTTTCAATGCCTTTAAGATACTTAATATACTTTTTTAAATTCAGTTTTTTTCAAATGTTCACATGACTAACGTGGATAAAAATGCAGAATAAAAGCAGTAACTGAAATAAAAAGACATAAATCGACAGATTGGAGAAAAACCGACCGGAAGTTTGAGAATGGCGAAAAAATCCGGATACTGAGCCATAAAAAAGGTCGATTAGTCAGGTAAATTGATGATGATCTCCGTTTGCCGAACCCAGTGCCCGATCGGAAAAGGACCAACGTATGCGTTCACATCCTTGTCGACGTGCCAGCAGGTTGATCGTTTGTAGTGGGAGGACCAGGCACGTGTGAATCAGCTGTGGATTTAATCAGTGTGTGGAGTAGGCACCAGCGAACACATCAAACGTTCAGTTCCTCTTGCCCGAGGAGCATTTGCCCCATTCCGAACAACAAACAGTGATAAATTCATTGCAACGCGTAAAGAAAAAATAAACTTAGAATTCGACTATGCGGAAAAGTGCAGTGAAATAATTATACACATAGCATTGAAATCCATCGATCGTGTTAAAATGTCACTTCTGTGAAAGCGTGTCGTGAGTCTTTGAGGAAATTATTAACAAGGGATCACGTGTTTAAACGACTTCACGTGGCCGTCAGAATCAGATGACTCGGGACTGTTCCGTCCGGTGAAGAATCATTCGCTACGCTCATTAATTCTCACCTGTACGCGCGTTAATTGTTGGCTCGTTCAACTGGTCATTCGACATTTGAATTGGAACGACGTACACAATCGATAATGACCACACGTACAGATTGCATAGTAAGAAGATATTATGCGGAGTGACCGACTATGAGTGACGACTCGACCGGGAACCGAGATCGAGATCTATGCACGTACTGGCAATTATTATACAACTTGATAAAGGACAATTAACATCAAAGTAGTGAGGTTTTATCAGTAGGACCTTGGGACTGTAAAAAATGATCGCAGTTACAATGTATGTGTAACAATTTGCGAATTTTTAAAATACTTGAAGAGAAGCTTGGGACCTTCCTATAAGGAGAGTATCAAAATGACTGGGATCAGTTTTCAAAAATTAATTAAAAACAGGATACCTGTTTTAAATTGGTTACCTAAGTACAGACCGAACGACGCATTGGGCGATCTGGTCGCGGGATTGACAGTGGGCTTAACTCTGATACCGCAGGTATTCTTTGAAGTTCATTGTTTAAAAACAAAAACGGAAGATATTTGTAATTCCTATGTAATTGTATGGTTCGCAGGCGATCGCTTACGCCGGATTGGCAGGTTTGACGCCACAGTACGGATTGTACAGCGCGTTTGCCGGCAGCTTCGTTTACATAATATTCGGTACCTGTCGAGAAGTCAATATTGGCCCGACCGCGTTGATTTCTTTACTGACACTCACGTACGCGAGGTAAGGACTGAAAAAGAACGAGTTTCGTGTCACGAAATACACTTTTGACAACCGTTGCACTCGAGATGAGAGCTTAACAAACCGGTTGTATTAACATAGTGATTGAATTTACGTACAGAATAGCGGCAATTGAGCCTGTATAATATGGATATAATGACGGATGAAAGGATACGTTCGTTATAGAAGTAGACGTGTTTCGCTTTCTTTATCTGTACACAATGCACCTTGTACTTTGTAATTTTCTTTGAACCGTCGAGTTATCTCTGGACTAGTTGGCATTATATTTCGTTCTTCAATGTTTCATACATTATTTCATATTAAAATTGAGTAATTCTGAATTAATTAACATATTAAGCGCCCTGCCTTAAATATTATTTGCTACCAAAAATAGTTTTAATAACTATTATAAAAATTATAGAAAATTACAAAATTCTGTTATTATTGCATTCATATTTTTTTTATGAATGAAATCAAAATTCTGTGATTCGACATAAGAATTTAAGATGTGATAACTTTTTTAATAGGCTCGCAAAATTTC